CTTGGGACTTTCAAGAAATCGATCTCATTTGCCCTGTGCGCTTTCCGAAAGTTTCGAGCAAGTGCTACGTGTGTGTGCTGACACTAACCTTGTTGTCGCGATTCTTACGATCGGAGACCATAACTGCCATGACCGAAACGAGAAAAGATTGAAATATAACTATTAGGTTTTGCTTGAAATGATTTTGATTTTAAATCATTTTATGCAAAATGAATAGGTGAAATCTAAAAGGATGAAGCTATTGAAAGAGCTCAAGGACGTCTATGTATTATTTTTAACTCATTGGAATTATTCAAGGAAGAAGGAAATTTCTATTTGTCCCATCTTTGTTGCAATTGATGAAGATTCTTTTTGAGAATAAAGATCCGAAGTCTAGATATAAATAACATTACCGATGACGAAAATTGTTTTTTTTTTGTTATAAATAACAATTATCGATGACAAGAATGTTAATGCGTTACAGTCTTCGAAATTCTCCATTCAGGACAAGAACACGTCACATTTTTTCGGGAACTCTCCCATTGCGTTATGTCAACGTAACACGAATTTTGCGCACGTTGGCACATCACCTTTCAGAATTACCTAATGCTCGTTCACCCGCGAAGGGTGGGTGAAACTTCGACTTACTTTCCTGCACCGCGAGCCGCGCAAAACCTCCCTTCGACCCGGCGAGAACACACAAAACGCAACGAAGCGTTTTTCATGACGCATGTGAAATCCATCGGGCTGGTTCGATTAAAAGATTGGATCGAATCGAACGAGCGATATAATCTCCGTGACGAAAATAAACGAACCGTGTGACGGAAGCGCCAAACATCCGGAAAATAATTCGATGAAGCGGCGCGCGGAAAATCAGACGGCATCCGGGGAAAATCGTGGACAGAGGGTGGGAAAATAGGGGGTGCGCGAGCTGGGAGGAGATCGAGGAATGTAATTCGACGTTCTCGATTTGTATGTAGCGCGTCAAACCCATTGAAAACGCCAGGAAACGATAAAACAATATACCTCTGCCGTGGCGCCGGTCTCTCTCGTCGAAAACAGTTCGAAAATGTATTGAAAACACTCGAAAATGATTGAAATCAAACAAGCTACCGGGGCGAACAACAGAAATCTATCTATCCGTCGCGCGTTCACCGATCACCGACTCTCGTCCCGTGTATCGGAATCGGCCGAATCACTTCGGATACACGCGTTCGCCTATGAGGCGGATAAATTGCACGTATCGCAGCTGATGGGAGAGAACCCGTCGATCGCCACCGCGCTTCGTATTCTCGTTGCAAACTGCTTGGCAGCTCAACGTCGGCCGACCGATAGTCCGCAGTAGATTATGAATGATAGCTTGGTCGCGGGTGTTGAATGGAACGCAATGGTCTGTCTGATGCATCATCGCTGGATTCTACGCATACGCTCTGCACGCGGTTGTTGACAAGACGGTTCAATTAATTCTTTCAACCGGATTTCCATTTGCTTTACGGCGACCACGTAATGTTTTCGATAACACGAGGATTGAAACGCGTGCCAACCTTTTAACCGAGTATGACGATTTTTTCCGTTGGTAAAAATTATTTAAAAAAACATTTGATACCTCTTTAGATTATTTGTACGCTGCACAGCTATTTTAGGATTAGTTGGACAAACAAAGTAGAAAAATACCGCAAACAGTGTCAAATTAAAATTCGAGAACCGATAATCCATCATGTTACCGATCAATGAATAATGCAATTTGTATTCGCAATAATTCATCTTCTAAATATTGTAGACGCTCGAAAGATAATAATCATTGAAAGCAGTGCAGATTAATAATACCGTATAGAAGAGGTATTAATTTATCTTGGAGTTCGCGTACGGCAAAACCTGAGACATATAACAGAGACAATTTAAACGTGAATATTTAACGACTTCGTTTCGGAATTTTCAGAATCCATGGCAGTTACATATGCAGACGTAGCAGAAAATATGGTCACGTCCAACGCAAGCTGTACAATACATATTGAGATACGATATTCTCTTTTCCATGATCACGTGCGACACGTCCAATATATTAGATACTCATGATTTATAGGGGGCGTATCAAACTCTGCGAACACTCCCAGCAAAGAGTTGAAGCGATTGATAAGTTCGACAGTGTCGTATACTTCAAATATTCCGCACAGTGTGATCTATTTATAAAATTATTAAAAATTCTCTTATCTGGAGGTCATTAAAATGAAGAGTACAGCGACGGTAAGTTAACACTCGGACAGCAGGACCATTTAGACCCATAATGTCAAAAGTGTTATTTGATTATGATTTTTCTGACAGCTAATTTAAATTATCACACGTGGGAACACCTTGAACAATACGTTGAACGAAATTGATAAACAAAATTATAAACGAACCTCGGTTATATTTCTGCCAAAAAGGACAGTCGTTCGATTGTTAATAAACAGATCGAAACTCCATTTATACTAACAAATTAATCAGAACCGATAAATAGAACGAGTTTAGTTAGAAACTTCCGTAATGTGAACACAATAAACTGTGCCTAATTCAACAATTTCATCGACGAAAAATGCTCGAATGCTTTTGTAAAATCATGTAAGCTTCACGTTGAAAAATGTCGGACTTATGTACTGCTAGGTCGATTATTACGTTGCGGACAATTATTTTGATAGCGAGTCATTAGAAAAGCTGGCGTAACCATAATCTGATACGAAGCTGCTGCTGCTAGCTCCACAGGCAGGTCACGCATGAAACTGTGAGCTGCTATTCTGGTCTCTCAAAATAAACCTCAGCTATTATACAGCAATTATGATAAAATGTTAAAGAAGAGATTAACATACTGATCGATTGCCTAGAAAGAGAAAATAATATGAAGCCAAATTTTACTGTTACGCTAATAATTACATACAAGGACTGTGTCATAAGGAATTTGGTAATTTTTACAAATAGCGTTTCCACCTTATTTACCGTCTCCAAAGCTATAGAAGTATATTCAAAAACTTTGACTTACGTCCTAAAGTGTAATCTGTCAAAATGTTCAAAAGACAAGTGAAATGAATTATAAAATTGCTATAAATTAACTTAACTCGAAATTATCTGAATAACTTTAAAATGAAAAATACGACCAGTTCGGTAGATTTAGTGTTAAAAGGTTTCAATGGTCAAGATTATTCGAAGTTCTAGCGCAAAGCACTTTGCAAGAAAAATTGCTGAAGAAACTCCTAAAATGTACACTCCGCGACAAAACTATAAGACACCCCTGAATTTCTAGTATATTTTTAAAACCATAAGCACATGTTCAAAGTTTTTGTATATATAAAAGTATTCCTTCTGTAGGCTTTGTACACGTCCATGGTTATGAGAACCTCTGCATTATACAGGGGTGTCTTATAAATTTGTGGCGGAGCGCATGTCCCAGAAACAGAAGATTCCCCTTGTGCACAGACGGGATGACGTATGCGCTTCGTTCTCGCCGTTAATTATGCAGCGGTATCGATGACAGACGGCCATTCTGTTTGACTCAGTGACCACGATAATTGGCATCGGGCGGTGCGCGCGCGACCACCATGCACTTCGATACGTCTCATGCCTCCATTTATTAAGATCGCTTTCATACGTGGCAATCCCGCGATGATTGTTTCCGCGCCCGGAGCGGCTCAATTAACGGCCGTCGAGGTCCAGGCAGTGCTGACGCATACGTGCGCGCGGTCGTGTCTGGGAGAGGAGAGGAGAGGCGGCCTCGTCGATTGAAAATGGCGAACGCAATGGAGAAAGGAGAAATAGAAAGAGAAAGACAAGATAATTCACATTGTTCAGCGGTGGACGCCCTCGAGGCATCCGCCTCTTCAAAGCCATTCGGCTCTCCCGGGCTCTCATCGAACCAGAGTCCGGCAGTTAATGAACTGCCCTTCGGCGTTGCAATTCACGCAGGTGCCCGGCCGTCTAGGAACCCGGCCAAGTGCCGGCGAGACCCCATTATCCATTTACATAAAGGACCACAACGACCGGGCTAAGGGTTTACACTGCTCGCTTAACCCCCGAGAATTTCCGCCACTCTCGTCGGATTAATGCTCGCCCGATTGCCGGACAACAGTGTTTTTGAACGAGGCTCGCGCACGATCCACGCGACACGACATTTTGTCGGGAGCCCGCTGATCACGGTCTCCTGACGCTCGAAGATAGGCGACATCGGGGACGAGCGTAATCAGGGCAGATAATGACCGTTGTAAACAACCGTTGAGTCTGTTCCGACAAATTTTTGTTATATTAACCTTTTAGGTACGGCTAATTTCTCGCAATCCGGAAATGGCGGGTTCCTCGGATCATTTGAAGCAACTTCTTCCTTTACAAAAATTATCTAAATTTTTTAAATCTAAACTTAAGCAGAGCTCACAATCCGACTTCCTGATCCTTGAAACACTATACATATTATACTTATGCTATATAAATGTTTCCTCCCACTTAACCACCGAAATTTCAATTTTCCAAGGTGTCCTTGTTAAATAAATCCAGAAGAAAATCACAATCCTTCTGTCGAAACTCTTCCGTCGTGTTGTGATAACATAATAATATGCACCTAGCTAAGACAATAGTTGTGTTATCGTAAATAAAAATACGATACATTGAAAATTGATCAATCATCCCCTATTATCGCAAAAATCAGCTTCAGGACCCCAGACACGTATTTAGCATTTATGCGCCAGGAAAAGCTTTACGAAGTGGTTTGGAACGGCAGAACTTCAACTTCTGAGCGGCAAGGTCACGCAAGGGGGTGAAAGAACGCGGGGCCACGTGAGCGCGTCGGGATCGTCCACGGTGGCGACATCTCTGTCGCCTGCGAATGCTCGCACGACGGCCGTCACACGGCGACGCACTCCCGTCGCTTCAGCCCGCGACACCAACCCCTGGCGGGGGTGGAGCTTGCGCGGGTGCTTGACAACGGGACGGGACACGGCAAATGACACGTTAGTTTTTCACGCGAAGAAGAAGAAGAAGAAGCGGCCCGAACAGTCGCTCACCTGAACCATTGATGTGTGTTGACACGCGAGACAGACTTCCCCTCTTGGCGGCAGTCTGATGGCGAAATCAGTCCGTGCCAACCCCTGTCGTTGGCCTCGCGGCCCGTGCATTCAACATCAGGCCGCGCACAACACCGGTCCGAGCCAGGCACGCGTGCACGCACGCATCCACGCACCTGAACACCAGCGCCCGTTCCGCGACACGATCGCACACACGGCCACGCCCAACCGACGCCGGAATTTCCACGAGGCCCCGGGATCTCTTGACAGAACAAAAAATGCCCGCGTTTTGTTTATGCCTACGCCGATGTCGGTGACAGGCCGCGCAGCTGCCTATCGTAGCCGCCAGAGGCGCTGCCGCGCAGCGGCGCCGAACGCGCAGTCGCGACACCACCGGGGATCGATTATTTCCCCGTATTTCCAACGGTCCTACGCGGTCAATCTTAATCCAGCCGCTATAAATCCATGAGCGATGCGCCGCTAATTTCGGCACAACGGAACCGCCGCGCCGCGATGCTACCTACTACCGTCACGATCCGCTTGAAAAGCCTGCGTATTAGGACTCNAATTATCTAAATTTTTTAAATCTAAACTTAAGCAGAGCTCACAATCCGACTTCCTGATCCTTGAAACACTATACATATTATACTTATGCTATATAAATGTTTCCTCCCACTTAACCACCGAAATTTCAATTTTCCAAGGTGTCCTTGTTAAATAAATCCAGAAGAAAATCACAATCCTTCTGTCGAAACTCTTCCGTCGTGTTGTGATAACATAATAATATGCACCTAGCTAAGACAATAGTTGTGTTATCGTAAATAAAAATACGATACATTGAAAATTGATCAATCATCCCCTATTATCGCAAAAATCAGCTTCAGGACCCCAGACACGTATTTAGCATTTATGCGCCAGGAAAAGCTTTACGAAGTGGTTTGGAACGGCAGAACTTCAACTTCTGAGCGGCAAGGTCACGCAAGGGGGTGAAAGAACGCGGGGCCACGTGAGCGCGTCGGGATCGTCCACGGTGGCGACATCTCTGTCGCCTGCGAATGCTCGCACGACGGCCGTCACACGGCGACGCACTCCCGTCGCTTCAGCCCGCGACACCAACCCCTGGCGGGGGTGGAGCTTGCGCGGGTGCTTGACAACGGGACGGGACACGGCAAATGACACGTTAGTTTTTCACGCGAAGAAGAAGAAGAAGAAGCGGCCCGAACAGTCGCTCACCTGAACCATTGATGTGTGTTGACACGCGAGACAGACTTCCCCTCTTGGCGGCAGTCTGATGGCGAAATCAGTCCGTGCCAACCCCTGTCGTTGGCCTCGCGGCCCGTGCATTCAACATCAGGCCGCGCACAACACCGGTCCGAGCCAGGCACGCGTGCACGCACGCATCCACGCACCTGAACACCAGCGCCCGTTCCGCGACACGATCGCACACACGGCCACGCCCAACCGACGCCGGAATTTCCACGAGGCCCCGGGATCTCTTGACAGAACAAAAAATGCCCGCGTTTTGTTTATGCCTACGCCGATGTCGGTGACAGGCCGCGCAGCTGCCTATCGTAGCCGCCAGAGGCGCTGCCGCGCAGCGGCGCCGAACGCGCAGTCGCGACACCACCGGGGATCGATTATTTCCCCGTATTTCCAACGGTCCTACGCGGTCAATCTTAATCCAGCCGCTATAAATCCATGAGCGATGCGCCGCTAATTTCGGCACAACGGAACCGCCGCGCCGCGATGCTACCTACTACCGTCACGATCCGCTTGAAAAGCCTGCGTATTAGGACTCGCAGCGATGCATTAAGTACTATAATGCAAGCGACGAGTTCTACGTCAGCGTTTCTTGGATCAGCCTCTGTGTGGCTTTTATTAATATTTAGAGGGATTTTAGGAGTGCGAATTGCACTTTGTGGAATAAAAGTATTTCATGGCGAAAGTAATAATAATTAAGGAGAAATGTGGTCACAGATTCTGTTCTCAATCACTTTCTACTCTTATATATATATTCTTATATCGATAATTTTGCGGTTCCTTTGATTTATTAAAATTTTCATAAAACTAGCAAGCAAAGATCGAATTTGTTTATAAAATACTGATGTTTAAAATTTGTTCTTTTGCTCATTTGCTCTTATGAAAACAGAAATGTTTATTTTGAAAAATTACTTCCAAGGTTAAATTTTCTTTTTTATTCCAGCCAAGATGATTTGGCCTAATTGAAAGTCTTATTTTACTGGGAAATTATTGTCTTCTTATTTATTTAGCATTGAATTCTTCATTGATATTATGATTAATTTCTTTTTTCCATAAAGATTATTCCCATCAATTATTAAAGCAGAACAAACTGATCGATTTTTTATAGTTTTACTTTGACACTTTTTTACGCAAGACGACGACCGAATTTGATATACGAGAAAAAATGTGTACCTACGTTTCCATGTAAAATAACGGTTCAACTATAAAATACACATTCATCCTTGTCCCGAAAGTGTAATCCTCTTTGAAACATTCATCTTTTTTCGTATACTATCTTTTTTAATAACAAAAGAAAACAAGATTTATTTCAGTTGGACGAATAATCATGTCGATTCTAGCTGTGGGAGCCGGTTGTTGCCGGTTTAATGCAACAATACATTCGCACAATCGCCAAACCCATCGATAAATTGATTTTCATTAACAAATTCAACGTTCATAAAAAAATTTGTACCTACCAACGTATTTAACTTTCATTGCGGTCCAAACAAAATGTAGACAAACAACGAGAGCCATTTCTTTATGGTTGTTTATCACCCAGTATGGTTCATTTGTTCCACAGATATTTCGCGCATGTGTGAATAATAATATATTTGTAACTAGATACCAAAGCTGTTACAATTAAATTCATCGCGAATTCAATTAAGCAGAAGTTTAACCCCTTGCCATAACCCGTTATGAATAATAATAGTGTTGATGATATTCCATTCCTTTTGGTTTGAATAAAATTCTGATTTCTTGTCATCGGTATTTAAACATTTAAGTAAAAATGTAGCCACACGATAAATATAAATGATCTTTTTTCTTCTTAAAAATTATTATAATCGGAAAACTTTTGATCATTTTAAATATGAAGAATATGGGGTATGGCAAGGGGTTAAATTAAAAAATATTTAAAAGGATGCATCATGTATATGTATAGTCCTCGCGCGACAAAAAGGCACCTTTCTGTTTACATTCCCCCTCTTACCAGCTGCCCCACTGCAGTAATTATTGGTCACTATTGATCGCCGTCGATCTTCATTACCGTTTCTGGCCAATAGCGATCGATAGCTGCGACAGTGAAGCAGCTAGGAAGAGGGGGAATGTAAACATAAAGGTGCCTTCTTGTCGCATGAGGACTATGCATATGCGGGTATTCTTTCATTTAAAGTGAAGCCAATTTTTAATATATTTTACATTTGTGGAAATCCGCAATTAAAATTGAAGATAAATAAACTGTATTGTAAATACACTTAACACGTTAGCTGTATTATTTTTTTACGTACTTACGTACGTAGGAATTCGACGCATTCGTAATAACGTTCCACCAGCTTTCTAAAGCCATAGTAAAAAAAGACTATCTCTCGAACTATCTCTATTAGATTCCTGAAAATAAAATCGCACCTGCAATTTTTGAATTATAAACAGCTAAATTAAAATTAAAAAATGTATATATTAATCAGGAACTGAAATTTCCCATAATCACTCCAACGTCCACGTTGTAAAACTATGTATCCATGAAGCATGCAGTTTCAAGTAACGAATTGAATAATGGTCGTCACAGAACGCTTGACATTTGATACCATGGAACGTATTCGCGCATTTATTATCTGTCCGGCAAAATTTTGTTCGAGCCCGGCTCAACTTTCATCCGCCGACAACGTTTCGGTATCCCTAAAATAACACGTTAAAACACGAATTCGATAATAGCGCCGTGCAGCACGAAAATTATATAATTACATGAAAATTCAGCCACCAATTGCGGATGATCGTTACACATACGACCGGTCTAAGAACATTTTGCATAAAATCATGAAACGTGATCATTAATGGACGTGTACCTTTTATGTCTATTATACGCTTTGAGGAATAAAGTGCAAGACATTTGAAGACAATAAACGGAACTGGGCAAAGCAGAAATTAGGACATCTGACCTAGCTGTTGGAAGAAATCCTGGTGCAAGAGGTAGAGAACAATATCGTTTGGATCAGTATGAAGTTTAATGAAGCACATGAAGTTCAATGAGGTACTATGTATAGAAAATTCACGAGACCGTAAATATTTAATCGGTACATGAGGCTTTAAAATTGTGGTGAAAAAGGTGCAGTCGATACAGGTATTAAAAATATTCGAGGCAAAAAAAGTTGGACTGGTAAAAAATTACACTGCATGAATATTTTAACAATTTTTAAATTAAAAAAAATCTGAAACCGGTCTACTTGAGCGGCGCGTAGATTCAGCGTTGAAAAAAGCATGCCAGATTTCCTCGAGGCTTCGAAACTTCTCACATGGTAGAATATCGGCAACTTCGTCTTTCGTATTCATAGTTGTCTTCCAATTCACGCCACGAAAAATAAAGTGAAAGGGGGGAAATGGGGGAAGAAAGCTGTCGATCCTTAATCTCCGAAACCTTTAAATACTTTCTCCGCGGATAATCCGTCGGATGATCGCGGATAAAAATGGTCGTCGCCGGTTATGTCCGCTTCGCGAAACCTTCGGGAGACTTAAAGCTCCTGGCAGAACGCTAGACGGTTGGCCCTCGGAGCCGGAGACGTCAAAAACCGTTGAATAATTCCTGAATTCGGCGAGACAGGCTGGCTAGATGGCTTATGCACTCCCCGGTGTGCCATACAGTTGTCCGTATGAATGGAAAAGTCTGCGTAGTCATGCGTGGCCAGCCTGTTTAGCCGTCGCGTCGGCTGGAATCCACGGTGACGACCGAACATCCGAACACCGACGCCGCCGTCAGGAGGATCCCCGAGATAACATTCCCTGAATAAGTCACCTCGATGGAATTAAGTTTAAATATTTCATCGTCCAACTAATCTCGCCGGTGCCAGACGAAACGCCTTGTCCTGGACCAACCACCGTCGGCGAGCGCGATGCGATAATCGGGGCCGGGGAAAAAACGATTCGATATCTTCAGAGATCCCGGGACAAGAAACTTGGCTCTGCGGAAACTGGAAAAAGACGGCGGGCCGGGCAATTGAAGGCCAGGCGAAAGCCAATTTATGCAAATAATTCGATAACGGCTTGAAATATTCAGCCCTCTCGTTTCATCCCGGCGAAATGCAAATCAGCGGCTGTTTAATGTAATTAATAGTTTGAGACGCTCAGCAGGTAGCTTCGCCGAAGAAAATATACAGGGTGTCCCAGAAAGTGGCGGGTTCCTCAGGCCATTCGAAGCAACTTTTTCCTTTACAAAAATGTTCTCCGAGACACCGTTAACGAGTTATTAACGAAAAACAGTGACCAACGAGAGGCGAGCTCGGCTGGCACGAGGCGATCGAGCCAATGAGCGGAACTGGGCTTCGCGCGCTGTTTGGCTGGGCCGCCTCGCGTCAGCCGTACTCGATTCTTATTGGTCACTGTTTTTCGTTGATAACTCGTTAACGGTGCCTCGGAGAACATTTTTGTAAAGGAAGAAGTTGCTTCAAATGATCCGAAGAACCCGCCAT